CAGATGCAGTGCAAAAACAACCTTCATACAATGCCAAAGGAAAAGACTGGTATCAAGCTGACATGAGTGCGCCCTTACTGATCCATGGACCAGACAGCCTGGCACCTTTTCCTGTCCTGTCTGTGTCATGACATCATGAGACTTGACCAGAACAAGTGCTTCTGACCAGCAAGTAGACAGTAACATTAGTAGTGGAGGGCCAACTTTAAAAGGAAAATTTACAAATTTCCTGGAAAAAGAAAACACATGATCCATCAGATGAAAGCAGCGTTGTGCATTCTTCCATAGAAATGGTTTTGTGACAAAATTCATGTAATCTTCATTCTTTCAGTTTTTACTTTGATAGGTGTAAGTTTACACTACACAGAGTAGATTCCTTATTTATTAGGAGAGCTCAACAGAGTTCAGGCTCATGTGTGCAAGGATTCCTGGTCCTGATGGGATATGTCATACACTCCATAATGACATGTGTGAAAGAGCACAGCCTGTTTCATTTACTTAACACCTATCCAACAGCATCTTCCAAAGATGTACGCAAAATACTTCTAGTGAGGGGAAAAAAAAAAAAAGGAAAGAACATTCAGAAATTAACACTGTCCATGGGTTAAAAGAGTCATTACAAACATCACAACACTGATTCATCCAGCATTTCTAATGCTTTCTAGTCTGCTCCTCTTTTTCATGTTTGGTTTGGGAGGAGACAGCTTAAAAAAGGGGCACTATATTCAAAACAGGGAAGATGAACTTTATGATATGACTGGGTGAACTCAGTTGCGCTGCAGAGTTGAAGGTCATTCTTTTTACTGGAGGAGTGGCTACTCTGGTATTGGTCTATGTGAGGTCACAGTTGGCCTCCTGTATCTCCTGTTTCTTTGCTGTTTGTTTATCTCCTGTATCTATGCTGTTTATTTGATTGTAGTGGGCAAGCAGTCTCCATCATATTCTGTTTTCTTTTTCTGTTATGTAGCACCCACAAGGTGTCAATAAATATTACTTTTTTTAATTTTTTTTAAATTCAATTTTTTAAAAATGTTCTGTTCATATAAACTCAGGAGAGAGACCAAAATATCTATTGAAAGTCCTTTGGGGAGAGGGATTTGATGCCCCATTGGAGCAAATTGCTGCTTATCCACCCATCCCAAAGACGTTTGGCGGTAGCACTGCTGAACTCACTGAAGCTGTGACAACTTAGCTTGTCTGAGATCTGCCCCAAGAGACTTACGAGGTCAGAATTGTCCTCTAGACTGCAGCTCTTAACTACATAAAGGACTTGAACAAATAATTTCATGTCAGTAGAATCTGGTAAAATCCATCAGAGTTTCACCATTTGTCAGGCATAGTTAAACCTGCTGGAGAATATAGTATTAAACAGCTAGATATATGATGGAAACACAAGGGTGCGGTCAAACTTCTGGTGAATAATATGCTATTGGAAAAGTAAAAACAAAACCAGACGGTAGTCCAGATAAAGAAAGCATCAGAAACAGCTCCAGTTCTGATAAATCTGCTTCATCTCTGCCTGCATGACACAGCTACTTTTCCAAGTGTCTGAGCTTGGAAACTCAAAGAAAGCTTGGAAAATAAATCTTGTCTTACCCTGGTAAGAATAGGTTCGTTCTTCAGTAGAATTAAAGAAATTTTGTCAAGTTAGGTAAAGCATTATGTAACAGCCATTTCATTTCTGTTATATTACCCATCTTTTTTTCAGACAGAAGTGCATTTTCAATGAATATTTAATGCTTTTTCTTTTAAGAAAGTATCTTTGAATCCCTTCAGTCTGCTGCTGACTTCATGTTCCCAGGAGAGGAGCTGCTACACGAGCTGCATGCTAGTGTGCTGTCAGATAGCGTGACTGAAAGGGAAGGTGCAGCTCAGAATGACAGCTGAATGGGGCAGAACCACACATCTTCCCTTAGAAATGAGCAGAAGATAAGAAGACTTGTCACCTGAGTGCGTCCACTGAGATGGTAGTTGCCTGTGTCCAAGAGGGAGAGTGGGAAAAACAGCAGATGCATGTTGTGCCTCAGAAAAGAGGCAAAGCCTCTTCAGATGAGCCTTCAGATGGCACCTTCAGATGAACTGTAGAACGCAACAGTTTTTGCTACAAGTTAATACTGTTTCTCATTCTTAATATTTTTTTAGCAGTGAAGCAATTAAAATATTCATTCAGCATATTGTGCTTTAAAAATATAATTCATGAAGATCGGCTGGCATGTTTTCAGTCGTTGCTGATATTACTCATCACACCAGAACAACTTGTGTATTTTTTAGCTATGTTCTTTCTTCTATCAGATCTCATCTTTTTTCAGAGGTTGAAGTGTGAAGCTCAGTGATTGATTCACCTTTTGTAGAACTGATGCGTGAAATTTTGTTTCTAGTCTGATTCAGTAAATGTCGTCTGTTTTGTCATGTGGGTGGTTCTTCATGTGCTATGCTTGCTCTTGAAAATCTGGTTAATAGGGAAAGCAAATGCATTTTAATCTGAAGATTAAATGGTGATAGATTGTAAAAACAAGCAAACAAACAGGCATTACACACACCTACTTCTTTCCCTGATAAACTTAATAAATTTTCCTGGCCTGGAAAGGAGCAAATTATTTCATTGCAAGTCATCCTGATCACTTCTGTAAAGTTTTGACCAGTGAGATGTAGTGCAACACTTTTTGACCACTTTCTCTGGTTTCTAAGCTGAAAGTTGTTACAGTTTCTCTGAGCAGCGGAAGCATAGATTCTCAAAAAGATTAATGAACTTTTCTGCCTGAAGCTGATACATTTTACAAATGTTCATTCACATTTCTGGGCGCTCCATGTGGCTGGCCACTGTAGTCTTCTACACCTGCATATTGCTCAGGAAGTTCTACATAATATTCTGAGAGCAGTGCCTATTGAAGGGAGAATATCTTGGTTTATCTTTAAACACTATGCCGTTGACATTTAGCCCAAAGCTGTGTTGTAACTGTATAGACATTAAAGCATTTTAATTTAATACTGTTACATCTCAGTATATACACTTTTTAACTACAGAATGGCTCTATTACTGGGTTTTGCTGTTACTATGAAAACATGATATGCCAGACAAACCTCTAGAAGGAGAGAACTTCTGTTTTATCAGTGAGTAATTTTGATCCCTCAATTTTGGAACCTCAAAGGCTGAATCATTTTTAAGTTTTTACTTGCAGTGAATCATAAAATAATTTAGGTTGGAAAAAACTTTTAAGATCATCAAATGCAACCATTAACCCAGCACTGCCAAGTCTACCACTAAACCATATTCCTAAGCACCACACCTACATGTCTTTTAAATACTTCCAGGGATGGTGACTCCACCACTTCCTTGGGCAGCCTGTTCCAGTGTTCTTGATGAAGACATCTTTTCTCATATCCAATCTAAACCTCCCCTGGCATAACATGAGGCCATTTTTTGCCATCCTATCACTTGGTACCTTAGCAAAGAGACCAGCCCACCTGACTACATCCTCCTTTCAGGTAGTTGTAGAGAGCGATAAGGTCCCCCGAGCCTTCTCTCCAGACTAAACAGCCCCAGGTGCCTCACCTGTTCTTCATAAAACTCGTGCTCCAGATCCTTCACCAGCTTTGTTGCTCTTCTCTGGACCCACTCCAGCACCTCAATGTCTCTCTTGCAGTGACGGGCACAGAACTGATCACAGGATTCAAGGTACAGCCTCAGCAGTCCTGAGTGCAGGGGGATGATCACTGCCCTGGCCCTGCTGGCTGTGCTATTTCTGATACAGGCCAGGATGCTGTTGGCCTTCTTGGCTGCCTGGGCACAAGTTGGCTCATGTTCAGTGTCCGTCAGTCAGCACCCCCAGGTCCTTTTCTGCCAAGCAGCTTACCAGCCACTCTTTCCCAAGCCTGTAGTATAGCATGGAGTTGTTGTGACGCAACACAACTGCTTTACAAATCATAAACTTTCATTCTGAAATTAAATGTTTCACCTTTCCCTGCAGTTTTGAGTCTCTGTTTTACTGTCCTAGGCAAAATATTACTAGAGGTGGTAAAATGATCAGCTGAAGTGTCCGGCTTGCTTTGCACCTTAGCCAGCAATACACATGGAAAAACTTTCTGGCAGAGATGTCTATGTAAATTACTTGAAGCTAAAACATTGTACTCTTTATATTGTTAAGAATCAGTCTAATTTCTTGAAATGAGATTCAAGACTAGTTACTGTTTGAGGAGCAGGTAGTGCCAGAGAACAATAAAGATGGGTTTCTTGCAAACAGATTTTATAATAAATTGTTCTTAGTATTCCTGATCTTCTTGATCATTTGCCTCAAACACTTTTGTGCTTTTTCTACAGTGATATTTTGTGTGAGATACCGCATTAGAAATTTATTTCGTAGGCTGCATTTAGGAATGAATGAGACTTCTGTTCCTGCCTCACTTAAGGGTCTCCCTCAATCATGATAGAACAAGCTTCCTGTGATGTATCCGTCATCATTGTCTTTATGTTTCTGCAGGCTTCCTCCTTTTCCTTTCATCTTTATTTTTCCTAATTTTGTTGATACAAGATTCTCACAGAGACTACAGTAGTTGCTCACATGCCCAGGAATTAAATGTAAAAGGAAGGACTCCTGAAAACTTAATTACGTTAAGTGCTTTTCTTTGTTTGCTTTAGTCTTGTGGTTTTTCCTGTAGCCTGTGATGTGTTACACTCTGAAGCAGATGATGTTTCTCCAGCACAGGAGAAACCCATGCCAGGGCAAACCATGCTGAACAGTGAGAAACCTTAATGGGGCAACACTCCTGACTAAGTTTTGGCTGCTTTTACAGAGGTTCAGGTTTGTCATTGTACAGTTATGTTGCCTCTGAAAAAATAATAGGAGGAATCAAAGCACTGTAACATAGCAGCTTTGCAGGGCTACCAGCATACCTTTGATGACCCATAGCCTTCATAAACCACAGCTTAATTGCATTGGATAGCATATATAATACCTCTGTTTGTTCCTTAATTTTATGATTGTCACTTTGGCCTGTTTCAGATAAGAAGACAAGGCGGAATACAATTACTGGTGGACCTATTGGACCATCGGATGACAGAAGTCCACCGTAGTGCCTGTGGAGCTTTGAGAAACTTGGTATATGGGAAGGCAAACGATGACAACAAAATTGCTCTGAAAAACTGTGGTGGTATCCCAGCATTAGTACGGTTACTCCGCAAGACTACAGATTTGGAAATCAGAGAACTGGTCACAGGTTTGAATCTTTCAATATATTTTGGTCAAGCTCTATATAGCCCCTGCAGGGACAGTTGTGTGCTGCATGTCAGTTGCTCCATCAGTAACTCTTTATTCTGTCACCACCTTTGCTGTAATAAAACACTTTCAAGCCCTTTGGATATATATAATGTATTAATAGCTTTATTCAACATCATGCAGACAGTTTACAGATGTGGGCATGGTTTATGCTTATGGTTGCTGGTCACTTTGTCCTTGGTTAGCCATGAATGCTCTTGCAGGAGATATGCTTTGTACACAGATAGGTTGTGGTGGGAATCCTGCTTGCTCTCTGTTCTCCCTCCTGTCTGGTAGGGCTGCACATACAGAAGATGTATTTTACTGAATTTTCTTAAAAGCTGTTGCTCATTTCTTTTATATCCTGTATAGTGAAAAGGCAGGGGGTTTGCCTTTCCCATGGTTCTGATAGGAAAATGGAAAAAGCATTGGACAAATGGAGCTGTTGGAGAGATGGACAATGTCATTTTCTTAAAGCTTTTTTCTGAAACTTGGTAGCATGCTATGTGATGTCTATTAGACACAGGGTATGCAGGCTGTGATGGAATCCATTTCTTTTCTTGACAGAGTAGTATCTGATCTTTTTAAGATTGTTTGAATTTTCTCCCTTTGGAAATCCAAGTTGAAGGGTTTTGTTTAGTTTAGTTTTCGGAAATACAGGAGTACTGTCAAACAGCACCAATCTGAAATGTTTGGAGATTTTTAACCCTTGCTCCCAAGTTATCCTATTTAAAATGAAAAACGAAAGTTAGTTGGTTTGGGTTTTTTTTTACTTTGTGATTTCATTCTGTTTGATTGCTATTATCAGTGTGGTGATTAATTTAACGGTACAAGTATAAAATCTTAAGATGTTTTAATATTCCCATTTTACAATACTTGTATTTCCATTATATTTTCCTACTAAAATATGCAAGAAAAGTTCTGTCATAGAAGCATTAGAGTACGCACTGTCATCCTGCAGAAATTATTTACCCTTGCAGATCAGGCCTCATTTAGGATACAATTGATCAGATTATTGTCCTTTGGTTGACTCCAGGTTCCTTCCTTTAGGGCGTCTGAATAAACTGCATGGTGCTTATTAAATGTAGATTTTTATATTTAATTTTGTTTCTTAGTTACAACACCTATCACCTCATACTTGTTAGGTGGGATTAATGGGCCAGAGGTACTGGGTTACACGAGCTTGGATGGTGCTTCCTGCGGAGTGACAGAATTACTGAAACATCTAATAAAGTGTAACCACTGCTTCAGATTCAACATACTTGTTTGTCTCTTGATTATGTTGCCTGTGTCCTGGCTCCAGGGAACATTCTGCCTGTTTATTCTGAGTAGTAGGTGGCAAACTGCTAATGAACATCAGCACTACACCTCTGCAGCACTTCCTGTGCTGTCTATAGGCAGAACACATAATGTCATTAGGTTGTTTGAAGAAAAGGTACAAGGCTACAGTTTACATTCCTTCCATTGCATAGTATGTTGTTAAATTTTCCTGAATTACCACAGAAAAAAAAGGATGTGTGTCCTAGCATGCCTACAAACTGTTACTATTAAGAGGAGTACCTGGTCCTGACCATCAGTGGTAGGCAGTAGCCAGCCTTTGTACAGATAAATGCAGCTTCCAGGGATGGTGAGCATCAGGAGTGCTGGACACCTATGAAGGGGGAGCAGAGCAAGATGGTGACCCTGAGGAATGGAATCAAATTCAGTGATGATATTCCTGGGCCTGTTTTTGTGTTAGGTTGTTTTTTTTGTTGTTGTTGTTTTTAATAGACACTACATCTCTGGAGGCCGGTGCTTGCCCTGGATGGGGTTTGTGCCTTTCAGAATGCAAATAATTGATCCTTGCAAACCTGGTTGTGGTAGTGTTCTGCAAAGCTCTTTTCCAAATCAAGGCTCATAGCTGCACCTCTCATCTTGCATCACTTAGGAAACAAGCTGGAACTGCATATCTGAATCAGCTCTCGTTTGCTTATTTGTAAAGTGTTGTAGTGTGACAGCTACCCCAGTTAAATTCCTTCCGTCTGTCCTTTCTGTGGAAGGAAAGATAGCTCCTGCAGCAGCTGCCTCAGTAAGGAAGAAGAAGTTTGGCTTGGTGATGGGCACAAGAGAAAATAAAAGTTTCCATCAGCCCTCCTGAGTTGAGGTGGCAAGAAGGTAATTATTTCACTAGTGTCACCATAGCCTGAAGGAAGTACTGAGAAAATAATAGCAAATGTGTGGTTTAGGAGTGAATAAACATATACCTTGAGCCTTTCCATCTCATGTTCATTGCGTATCCTGTCTATATAAAAACTGTTCTTGTTACTTTTAGAGAGGTCATAAAGTTCCTGCCTTAGGAATTCATATAGGCTCTGTCATCACCACGCCTAAATACTTCATCATTTGTCCTCAGAACTCTTCTCTAAGGTGGGGAAGCGTCATTATCTTGGTTGTACAGATGGAGAACTGAGCCTATCAAGTCTAAATAACCTGTCCAGAAATCTGGCACGACAAAGGTGTGAGTCACTCTGAGTAGCCATTCAGCTGCAAGGGAAGAAATAGGGGCAGAAGAGGTTTTTAGCAGCTCAATTTATCTGAACAGCAGCGAAGCATTCATCGCCTGCTCCAAGTACCATGAAGCACACACCCGCAAGAGTTGAAAGTTATGATATTAGTTCCTTTCTCAAACATGCACATTTTCTTCCTTCATGTTGCTTCTCACTAGGGAGACTGCAATTTCAATTTCCAGCTATCTCAAGACTGGTTTTGGAAGGGTATTTGACCCTGCTTTCTATCCTGGTAGCTCCTTGCTTCTCAGGATTGCCTTCACGATTTGTGGCTTTTCCTCTTTTCCAGAGATTCTTTTTGCCATAATCTCTCCAAAACTGAGTTTTTAATTTCTTCCTTTATCTCATGTTTCTCCTCTTCAGTAGCAGAGGTCTCGGGCTAACACTGGGAAAGCTTACCATGCTCAAAATTTGGATTGTGCAAACTGAACCTTATTGCAGAGTGATAGATTCAAGGCTTTATGGGGAGCAAATGGTTTTGGAGAAGCTCCCATGTAGAAATCACTAGGGAATGGTGCTGCGCGGCTGTTAGGAAATTAAATTGTGTTCATGTACAGGAAATATTTCCGAAGATGCTGAAAGATTATTCTTCCAGAAACACTTCCATAGTCACTGTTGTCCATTAGAGGAACCTGGATAAACTGAAGTATACCAGTAAATATATACATTTATGCAGAAATTAAATACTCTGATAGAGATTTCAGCATGGCCTATATTCTGGTAATTTCCAGAGACTCTGGGAGAACCTGAATTACAATGGCTTGTTTCATATAGGTCTGTAAATGAAAATAAATTGGTATAAGTTGGATGCACCATACTTAATTTAGCCATCTTTTTGCCCCAGCGCTGTGCTGCTAGTTCCCACAGTAGCTCCTGTTAACAGGAAAAAATAAAAGCCTTCTATTTTAAAATAATTAAATGTTAACACTTTTCTAATAAATATAAATAGATGAGAACACAGTATAAAATTAGCACAGATCCTGCAGATGGTAGAAAAAATGTTTTCACTTGTTAATAATGACAATGAGTGGCTGATTTCTGATTCTCTTGCCTTTCCTGAGTTAATTACGAACCCTTCCACAAAATTCTATTTTAGCTTGCTTTCTGTTTGTTTTGCTGTCAGGAAAAATAAATGACATGAAAAATGCGAAGTGTTAGCAAGGATAACGCAGGAATCCCTTTGATGTCTTGTGCGGAAGGTAGAGGTCAAGCAGCTGTTTTTAGATTCAGCCTACTCTTGCTTCTTGTTCCATCAGCTCCTTCTGATAACTAGGTACCTGTCTCAGACAGAACGTTTTAATCTGCCATTCTTCTCATTTCGGTAAACAAAATCCGTCACAACTAGAAACACAGCTTCTGCCTGCAAACAGTAAGCTAGCTCAATTAGAAACAACTCTTGTGAAGAGGCCCCTTATATGACTGTGTCACCTGTTTTCAAACTGTATATACCATATTTGATTGAAAGGTAAAAGTGGATGATCCACTTTTAGAAAGCACATGATGATAAAATATAGGTATAAATAATGACAGGGGAAATTGATTTTCCTGTGCTTGCAGCCAGGCTGCTGCCTTTTTTGGTTAACGTTAAGGTGTCAGAGATTTTTAACTGTTGTCTATTGAAAATGTGTAAACTACGAAAATCATCACATTTACGAAAAAAAACCACAAAAGCAAACCAAAACCAACTAAACATAAACTATCTGACACTGTACACATAAACTGAATGTAAATAGATAGACATGGACTCTATATATTTTGTTCACATATTTATTCACTGAATCAAAAATAATATGTTCCATTCCTGCAAAAAAATTGTAAGGCGTTTTGTACATAGCATTCCTTTCAAAGAAGCACTAGCTGTCCAAGTGTATTTGGCCCATTGTCAGGTCATATTGGAAAAAAAATTTCATTTACTTCCCAGATCTGGGATTCCAGTATTCATTAGTATTGTCTTTAATTTCAGCTGTGGCCAGTTTCTGTTTTGACTCTGTTGTCACCTCATGTTATGCAGTGTTATTATGTAGTTGTTATACCTTCCTGTTCAGTTTAATAAATGCCACATGTTTTATAATGTGGTATTTATAATCTTATTGATAGTCTGTCAGTGTTACTGAAAGCAATTATATGTTGTGCTCCTTGTATCTATCTGATTCAAAAGTAACCACTGCAGTTTAAACTTTGTTTTGATTGCATACTGCTTATTAGTATAAATTAAAAGCATAGTATAAAATAAAAGCATAGTATAAAATAAAAGCATAAATTGTTGGCAGGTTGGTCAAGAAACTCCAGAAGGTCCCTTTGAGCCTTGCAGGTGTCTTTGCTAATCAGTGTAATTGCAAGTTAGTGAGCCTGCAGTAATGTGTGAAGCAGGTTTAAGGGAGTACTCTATTTAAATGGCCCTTTTGGCCACCTTCAG